TTTAAAACTGCAGAGCAATGAAAAACTTCCACTGGGCAGTGGGAATAAACATAAAAATCCTATTAAAAATATATATACATAAACTGTGCTGCCACACAGAGGCACTGGCAACAGCTCTCCCAATTTATCATGAATTTTGCAGTTGGCAGCGCTTTTATTTTTAATGCCTGACCATTGGAGTCCTGCTATTGCAGGAGCTTTTTTCTCTATCTTTTTAATACAAGCAAGAGTCTAGCTGTCATTTTTGCAGAGGAAGGCTATAAAAGGTGAAATAACTACAGTGTAAGGGATCTAAAGCCAGAAGGCTGGTCAAAAAATGCACAGTATTTCTTAATTTCATTATTTTTTAACATTTGGAGTTAGCCGTGGCTGCAAACATAAGTCATATAATGATGAATAGAATGAGCAATTGGTTCATTCAGAGTACCAGAACAAATCAAGGAGTAGCACATCACCCAGAGTACTTTGCTATAATGCAAAAATTTGTGTACTGAGTGAAGATAAGCACTTAGGAGATAATCCAACATACCACACCAAAGAAACAAACCAGGTGAAGAGAAATGGAAGGCACCTTCATTTCTCTCCAAGCACTACAATAAATCCATCATATATCTACAGTTTCACTTGAAAGCTAATAGGTGTCCTCTAGTGGGTATATGATTACCGTTAAGTTGGAACGAGGTCCACAGAAAACAACTCACAGGGTATCCTTTTGGAAGAGGGATTAAGTCCCTGGTTGGCAGTGCTTTCCACAGCACTGATCCAGATATCAACGTGGGTAGGTGAGATGCGTTTCTGCTATGCAACTGTGCATTTTCCAGTTATTCCCCCCTTTTATGAGAAATTTTAACCCATTTAAATTAGGTGCAGAAAGGGGAAAAGAAGTTCTGGTGGTGTTGCACTTTCTCAGAGCGTTTTGCACGTTTTCCAATGCCCTTCTGGAGGGGGAGGACTCTCTCCCAGTGCTTTGCCTCCTGCTGTACAGGGTGCATGAGACTGAGGGGTCCCCAGGGTGGAAAACGGAGGCAGAAAATTGTTGCTGTTTTCCCACCGTTGTGCACACCCCCGCCATCAGGCTGACTCTTTGGTCAGAGCTGTAAACCAGGAGATTTTCCTCCCCTGCTTTGTGTGACCACCTTGGCTGCTTGCAAAGACCCATGAGCTGGAAGCTCATCATCTGGCCGGCATCCTCCCAAAGGTATTTTAAGACTGCCGTGTGGAGCACCAGCTCACAGTACTTACAGTATTTCGTAGTGCTCCAGCGGCAGCAATTCAATCCTTATTTGGGTTTCGGCCAACGTTTGTTGTCCTCACTGGAAATGGTATTGATTATTTGAGTTCAGGAGCCAATTATGGTTGATATGATATTCACCACCTCGTGTCCCAGGATGACACGTGCATGGAGGCTGCTTTGCTTCAGTTGTACCTGCCAAATGGGCCAGCGAGGCTCTGGACAGACCTCTGACCTTTTAAATCACCCATGGTGCAAATAAGCAGTTTAACTTATGCCCTAAACCTTATTTGACACGTGGTTGTTGGGTTTGGTTTGAGCAGGGATTGGCATTTGTTTGATATCTCCTTCGGTGGGTGCTGTGTCCCGTGCCATGTCCCACATGGCACCTGTCTGTCTGCTTGGTGGCACTGCAAATTTCATGCAGCGGGGAGAATTTTGGATGAGAGAAGACTGCTGTGCCAACAGAGAGAGAGCTGGACCATGGGCTACTGGAGGCCACCAGCGACTGGTACCTAGCGTTACGCTGCCAGGCAAAATCATAGGCAAGATGAGTGCTGTGTGATGATGGGCGGCAAACGATGGTTATGGAGCCTGCGGGCAGCTGAACCACTCCTGGGTGCCAGCTCCTGGCAGCAGGTCTGCAAAGTGTTGCGCAGCAGAACCACAAAAGTCTAAAGGCTTCACCCCAATGCAAATTTAAAACAAAGACCCTGATTATAATCAACAATGCCCAAGTCTCTGACTTCTTAGAGATCCTTCTCAGCCAGAGGTGACATGTCCCCTGTGATGGGAAGCGGGAGTGACCTGCACTCCGATAAACTAGTTGCAAGAGGATCTTGAGAGCCCAGTCGAGAGATTTCTGCGCCGATCTCGCAGTGTGAGGACGGGGGATGCTGCGGTGCTGAAGCCGTGGGGTGTCAGGAGCTCTGCTCTCCTGCAGGAGAAGTGGTGGAGAGTGGTGGAGCTTTGCCGGGTTGGTGCTGAAACAGGGGCAATTCCTCATTTTGCTCTTATTTATTACCTTATTCTGCCTCACTGAGTCTGCGTTAATGTTACGTCTGGTGTTCTCAGCTCTCCTTGGGTTTACTGCATTTAACAGCTTCCTGGGCAAAGCACCTTCCCACGTGGCTTATTTGATGCTATTTAGATGAATTTGTTGAGCCTCTATCCTGGGTTTGTTTCATTAAAATTTGGGCTGTGCTTTTCCATCTGGCTGTCTAGTGGAAACAGTGTCCAAAATTGGTATTTTAGTCACTTTCTATATATTTTTTGCAAAGTTAATTGAATTATGAGAAGCAGGTTACTTAAGCAAATGCAATGGCCCCTGTCACACTTCATAGGGCCTGTTAAACACATAAAACCCAAACACAATTAACGCTTTCCAGTAATTACAAATGCAACGGGCAAATCAGCCTTCCTGCCCCCTGAGTAAGAGGTTGACGAGGTCTTCTTGGGGCAGCTCCTCCAGCACCGCTGCTGCTGGAGTGAAATGTGATAATGCCTCCGTTCACTGTGAAATACCGCATCTTCCATCACATCCCTGACCCAAAATAGTTTTTAAGCTGGTATTTAATGACCTGCAGCCAGGCCCACGTCACCCATACAAAGCACGAATATCATCTACTCCGTTTATAGAGAGGGAAATGAGTTGTGATCTCTTCTCGCTGCTGGTAATGAGTCATTAGCGGACTTGGGCGCACGGGTGGGCCAGGCCGACGAGCACAGGACCCCAGAGCCCGCGGAGCTGCCCGTGCATCCTGTGCAGCTGGCGCCGTTACTGGGGCAGCCGCGCTGCCGGAGGCTTTTGGGGACGAGTTTGCAGAGAGGAAAGGTGTCACTTGACCTTTCTGTGATTCAGTTGCCTGGCTGCTTTAATGGCTTTGGGATGTGGGAAATGGAAGTGTAAATACCGATGACGTGCAGGTGGCCTCGCCTGCGCCTGCCTGCTCCGTGCTGCCAGGGAGCAAATACATGTCCAAAGAAGGAACACGTTTTTTTTTTTTTTTTTTTTTGTCCTCCTTCTTATTTATTTCACAGGCGAGGAGCAGAGGTGGGAATAAAGGAAAAAAAGACGTCAGCTGCTTATTAGATCAGCAGCAGTTGTTTTGAGCCCTAGCTTCTCCATGCCAATTGATGTAGTAAGCTTTGTTTTGGGGGTGCTTTTCTCATGCAAAGGGCTGTCTGATCAGAAAATGGTATTTTGCTGCAATAATTTTCTGCAAGCAACTTGCAGTGGTCTCTCTGAGGTAACATGCTGTTGATTAATGCACAAACTTACCCCCTCTCCCCGGTGTCTAGTTTTTCATTCTGTGTAAGCTCTGATTATTCAGTAAAAAAGAAACATTGGCCTATGAAGCTAAACATCAAAATGCAGAAGCAGAACCCTCAGTGTCCCCACTGTTTGCAGTGTGTTTGCTCAGGGTTATTTTCATGCCACACACAATTGAGGTTATTGAGGAGAGCAAAATGAACAGTATTTGTTATTCAGTTCATTTTGGGTTTTCAGCGCTGTCGTTGTCTCACAGCAGTGGTGCCTGGGGATTCAGGGGGTGTGAGGTTATGAATTTATTACGTGGTGTCTGGAGCTGTACAGAAACAGCTCCCAAAGGTCTCGCTGAAGGAGAAGGAAAGGATACTGTATGGAGGAGCCAGGAGTGGGTGGACAGAGTAGGAAATGTGGGTATGGAGACATGAAGTGGCTTGCCTGTGGTGCCAGGGCACTGACTGCAAGAGCAGCAATACTGGGATTTATGCTTTCGGACTGCTGGGCTGCATCTAACCTCTAAGCAAAGTGTGTAGGTTTCCGCTGGGACCTCCACTGTGTCTTTGCTGGCTGGATCTGCATCTGAGGTCAGGTTCCTTACGCCAAGTAGATTTAACCGGGATTATGCATTTTTAAGTCTGGATCTGAACTGTTTGTTTCTATAATTTGCCAAACCAAAATCCAAAGTCCAGAGAATCTTAGAGAAGTTTATGCCTTCATTGCAGGGTCCGCATCTGGGCTGTTAATACATTAAGGTTTCCTTAAAACAGTAATTTGTATTAAATGGTTTAGCTGTAGATTTTTAACTACTGAGTGATAATAGACTAGAAGCAAATGGAATGGAACCAGCTTATTCTTAAAAAGATTTCCATTATCTTAGTATGTGATCACCTTGTAATCTCTAGTGTATATGTTATACCATCCATCCCTTACAGAGCTGTGTGGCTCTTGTCTTCTGCTTTAGAGATAGAGGCAGCAGCCTGCAGATGCATAGGGTACCTGCTCTGCATCTCCAAAGTCTTGGGCTAGTGCCCAGGCTGCTTTGTCAAACTCCATCTCAAGTCCAGGAAAACTAAATTTGATTTTACAGCAGGAAAAAGGAAACAAAAGAGACCAGAAAAGCTTGAGTAAAGTATTTGGAGAAATTGTGTGATAGAAGAGATTCGAGTTAAGTCAAAGACCTCAGGCTGTTTCCACATGGGGAAGTCAGCAGTGCTGGTCACTGGCATCCGAGCGAATCGTTGAGGCTCATGTAGTTCCCTGTGTTGTCCTTGAAAATCTGTATGAATCCTGCAGTGGAAGTTGATGCAATCAGTGTATCTGAAAAGCGGCACAGTACCAACCTGTGAAGCAGCGCGGGAAGCCCGGGAGGTTGGCTGGATAAGCGGGCTCATCTCCTTCCTTGCACTGAGGTCTCTGCTAACCACATACGGACCAGATGGTGGACCTGGCTCTCTCTGCCTCTAAAACAAACCTCTGTCCTCCCTCTCTGTCTCTTTGCAGAGCTCCCTTCCTCGGAACACTTGAGCGTGGCCGATGCAACATGGCTTGCCCTCAATGTGGTGTCTGGTGGAGGTGGCTTTTCTGGCTCCCAGCCCATCGGAGTGACCAAAATTGCCAAGTCAGTAATAGCACCACTAGCTGACCAAAACATCTCAGTGTTCATGCTCTCCACCTATCAGACGGACTTCATCCTGGTAAGAGGACATGAGAGGTCCAGGCAGAGTTACCTGCCACCAAATGAAAGTTCATTTGGACAGTTTTAATGACATTTCTGGGAACAAGTTGTTTGAGGAACAGCAGAAGTACCAAAGCCTGCTTTCCCCAGAGCTCTGTACCTTGTAGTTAGGCTCTCTGACATCTCAGGAGCTTTTCCCATGGGATGAGGCATTTGTTGGTATGGGTTATCTGGTGTCTAATGAGAGTGCTGAGCCCACACTGCAGTCTCTCCCTTAATGGAGGCACTGGCAGCATTTCCCACCATCACTCAGACATTGGTTTTCTGAGAGTTAGAGAAAGATTGTGTCTGCTGTCAGATTGGCTGATGATGACCAAGAGGCTCCAAAGTTGTTTTGGGGATAGACAGACAGACTGTCTTTCTGTCTCACACACACATGTGTGCATGCGCACAGGACACAACCACATAAGCTATATTTCCTTAGGAAACAAGGCTGAAGAACAAGCCATGCTGAGTTCTTGAAGTGATGCTGGAAAAGAGGTGAAATGTCTCCCTCTTAGAAGTCTCCACGCTCTTTCCACAGTCTTAAAAGCACTGTGGTGCTTAATCCTACTGATATTTGCAGTTGTATCACCAAATACGCTTCTCTCGATGCACATCCAGATGGTAATTATCCTTACACACCTGCTGGCTCAAGCAGGAGTGATGCATCCACTTTTCTGTGCCCTGGGAATACGTAACCTCCACTGCAGTGTATTCTGACTTCTGGTGCATACCGTCACGAGCTAATCCTGTTGTCAACTTCAGGTACGTGAACGAGACCTGCCCTTTGTGATGCACACGCTGGCTGCTGAGTTCACCATCCTCAGAGTAGTGAATGGGGAGACAGTGGCTGCCGACGACCTTGGGATAACAAATGGATTTGTCAAACCAAAACTAGGTAAGGACCAGCATGGGCTTGGCTTGCCAGGGAGCTGGTCTCCATGACACATGGGGGTGTCTGCCTCCCACTTTCCTTCAACATTTTGGTGAATGTTTATCCTGTTGTAAGATAATAAACTATCTTAACACACACCTGAGTCTATCCCAGTTCAAGCAAGAATTTGAGTAAGTGCTTAACTTTCTGAGCAGTGCTGATGAGCTTTGCTGAATTTGAGCCTTTTAATGCTAGTTTCACATCTCCAGAGGAGACATGCCTTTTGTAGGACGGAAGGTTAAAGTACAATTCATGTCAGTTGCAAAAATAACATTGTCTGCAGCCCGTATTTCCATGTTTCAACATTTCAAAGGAAAATGGCTTATATAAAAGCTTAAGTATTGCAGTGATTGATGCACAGAGAATAGTGTTATTCAACTTTCACACTTCACTACCAGTCAGGATCAAGACCACAGTGAGCCCAGGGCTGTACAGAACCTTAGGATGTTTCCAGTCTAGAGAAACAAGCATCAAGCAAAGGGCACAATCAGGAAAAGGAACTGCTTAAATACATATGTTTACCTACAGACCTGTGTGTAAATTTTCTGCCCTTAACCAAACAAAGCAGGGATCAGTATTACGAAGTGCCACTCAGCCTCGTCACTTGAATAGCTATAAATAATCTCATTTAAGAAAATGAGCCTTAAACAAAAAGCATAAAGGAGGGCACAGTGAAACGCTCGTTGCTTATGCACAGGTATGCAATTTGCTGTGTTGCTCTGTTTAATAGTTGAATGCCTGAATACTGGCTGCTTCACAGCCAGTGGCTCCAATGTGTTTGCCAAGCTGCTGCATGGCAGCTGGTTTTTAATTTTTGTGGATATTACGGCAAAATAGGCCCCCAGAAAGGAGGGAAAAGAGCGTACACTGCCAGCAACCACAGCTGGAGAAATGCCTTCCGTAGCCCTGCCTTTTAAATGGCAGAAGCCTGAATTTATTTCTACTTTTCAGTTTGTGTTGGCACCTCCTTTAGCTTGCCCCTTGTCTCATGTGGATGCATGCAATGGCCTGAGAGCCCCTACGAGCAGAGAGCTGACCTGTGCCCCCGTGCAGGGCAGATCTCACCCTATACCCCAGGGAGAACACGGCAAGAGCAGGTTGTCGTCAGGCTCCTTGGTCCCCGTCTGAGAGCCAGCAGGGCGTCAGCAATGAGGAGCTTCCTTCCCAAACACTGCCGGTTTTCTCTGTGGCCGCTGCCGGTGCACGGATAACACGTCTGGTGGGACGTGAACCTGCTGCAAACGTGGCTTCATAGTTGTGTATGTCTCTGTGTCTCTTTCAGTTCAGAGGCCTGTCATTCATCCCCTTTCCAGTCCGAGTAATATGTTCTGCGTCACCAGCCTGGATCCAGATACCCTTCCCACTGTTGCTACGCTCCTAATGGATGTCATGTTTTACTCCAATGGGTAGGTCCCGGTAGGGAGACAAGCTCCCAGGGGAGGAGTGCCCGGCATCTGGAGGCACACAGTCACGTTGCTTCTCCAGGATGCCAGGGATCTGCTGTGGCCTTATGCTGCTGAGGTGCTCTGCACGCAGGGAGGGAGGTTTCACAGGCTCAAGAGGGTCGTCCTGACAGGTGGAAGCCAAAGAGAAGATTGAGGGTGTCCAAAGACATCCCCTGGCTTTGGAAAGCTGAGCCTTTTCAGATTTAAGCTAAGAGTAGCAATGTGATCAATGTGCTGGGTTTCCACATATGACCGGAGGACGTACAGCTGGCTGTGCTGCTACCCTTGGTGCCTGTGGCTCCTGGCCCACAGCCTCCTGTGAGAGCACCTTGGGGCAGGGATGGGAGAGTTTTCTCGATTGTGGGGCCTGGCATTTTTTCGCCCTGCAAAATCAAAAAAAAATGAAAAGCAGTATAATGTGACAGGACTCAATGTCACTTCCATAAGTCAGTGTATGAACATTTCTGGTTTCACTGGCTGTATCTGCTTTAAAAGCCCTCCTTTGCTCTTCTAGCCACAGTCAATGCTGTTCTCTTCTGTTTCTTCAGAGTAAAAGACTCAGTGGTGGGCAACGAAGACTCGGGACATATTCGCTTTTTCTCCTTTTCTCTCATTGAGGGTTACATCTCCTTGGTCATGGATGTCCAGACACAGCAGAGGTGAGCTTTGGTCTTAGGGTCTCCTGGACCCCAAAAAAGCACCTGGGATGTTCTCAAAGGAGCAGGAAGCAGCTTAAGCTCCTCCATGTTAATTCTTGGGAGCCTCATTGCATGGGTGTCATGTGCCTGTACAGCCTGTCACTTTTCTGAGTGAAGTCTGGCATGTTAGTTCCAGCTCCTGAATTTTGGGCTCGTCTGTCCAAGCCCTCAGTGAAATCACAAGCCAATGTAATGTGAGGTTGTCTCACTTTTGAAAGAGGAACACTGGAGCAAAGTGATTTTGACATTTTTATTCCATTGTTCATTAGTTGTGCTTTTAAGAGCAAAACCCCCAAAAATCTGGTGTACAATTTGGTGTATGTGGTTGAAGTTTTACTGCTAAAGGCCAAAAGTAGGGTGGGGACTCCAGCGATGCTGTCCTCCCGCTTTGCTTTTACACATGGCTGGGCTTGGTGCGGGAGTCTCCTTGTGATGATAATGTATTGAGTCATCCCTGTGCACTGGGAGCCCATGACTCGTTTGTCTGGCAAGGAGAAAGTTAGCTAGGGAGCAAATATCAGCCTGTTTGTGTGTGTGTGTGTGTACTTCTGCAGCTTCACATCACAGATGTCTCTCAGGTCTGGAGGCTAGACTGGATGCTGCGCTGAGATGCAGTGCATAGATTTGCTTTTGACACACAGTGCAGTGTTTGGTTTTGATTCTTGCCTGCCCTAGGTACTTGTTTTGAAAACTATTAATTGCCCTCTTGAAAGTTTCTTCGACCTTAATTGGAGTAAACCTCTGTCTGCCTTCAGGAGAGGCTAGAGGGTTGGCACAGCAGCCTGATACTTGGGGAACCTGGGCAGCCAATTCCTCCTCTGTCACAGATTGCCTGCTTGACCTTGGGCAAGTCTCTCAGCCACTGGTCTTCTTTCCCCTGCTAAGAAATGGGGATCTCTGCAGGGATCCCAGGGACCTCCCAGGGATGGTATGGGAGGAAGTACTGGAGATGCTCAGACACAAAACCTGTGGTCACCGTTCACATTTCTAAGAGAGTAGGTGTGGAAACATACTCTGTCCCTAGGTGTTTCTAAATGCAGCTCAAATCAAGCCTTCAGATTAACAGTCTCGATATTTATAAAGCTGGGGCATGGCCTGTTTCTTAGAAATCTTTTTCCGTGCCTCTCTGGGTGCCTGTGCACACTTCCAGCATCAGATGCTGATTTACCATAGGACACCTGGAGAGGCAGGCAGGGGCAGCTGTCCTGCTTGCCTTGAGTTTTCTCAGTTTCACCGAGCTGCTGCCGCTGCTATTGTTGGCTTCAAGCAGCACAGCGGTACAGGAACAGCAGCATCCCCGCAGGCAGAATCTGACACACTGCTGTGTTTTAATTGCCATGTTTGGTGTTCCTTTTCTTTTACAGATTTCCTAATAATTTGTTGTTTACAAGTGCATCTGGCGAACTCTGGAAGATGGTGCGGATTGGTGGGCAGCCTCTTGGCTTCGGTAGGTAAACATTTGGGGGATCAGTTGGTGCGCAGGTAGTCAGTTGCCTCAGGGCCTTCAAGGATGATGGAAAAATCCATCTGAGGCTGAGGCTTTTTAAGAGCCAGCAGCTTAACATGACTTTGCAAGCTGAGATTTTCAAACAGGAGGAGTCTGACTCCTACCTAGTAAGTCAGACTTCTAAATATACTTTTGAAAGTGCTACATGCTTGACAGCTCCATCTAAATTGCAGTCATCTGCTGGACTTTGGAGGTAGCTACAGCTGGGTCTCTGTTCAAAGAGAAAAAGTGGACAAAAAGATGGCATAGGAGTGTGTTGTAGATTACTGAAATTAGTGGTGAGAAGGCATTGTTGTACTCCAGTGCAGTCCTCGGGCAACTCTGTGGCTTTAGTCGATTTAGTATGGATTTATAGCAGTCCAAGTGGGAGTCCTGTTCATAGACCTGTTTCACATCCAGTGCTGCAAACGTTTTCTCTACTCAAAAGAATATTGGAGCAAGTGCTTCATGTCTGCCGAAGTGTACTTGTTATTTTTATGTCCCCTGTAATTTTAAGGCATCTGATCTGAATACTGCAACAAAGGCCTGATCTTCAGAAGACACTGGGGCTCCTTCCCGTGGTCTCTGAAACAGTTACAAAATACAGGCTTCAAGAACATTTCTGAAAGATATTTGGCCAATTTTTATATTTAATTGCAACTTCTACACCAGACAACCAAAAGTAGCAAGAAGGAAATTTTCACACACCTTCTCTTCATGCATCTTAGACACAAAATATGTAGAAATGGGCTGGTATATGTTATTGATGGGACATCAGGACACCTGCGAGTCCCCTGAATATGTGAGGTTTGAATATGTTAGCTTATAATCAATTTGAAATGTTCAATTTGGATCAGTGAAACTCAGATTTCACCTGGAAACAACGTACCATTGATCTGCGATGAACAGGACAGATGAACCATTTAAATTGGCGTGAAGTCCTGTCTCAGGGGCTGTGGTGGGCTGTGGTCTAGGAACCATGTATCCAGGCCGACCAGCAAGTCAGCGTCTCCTCTCTCAGAGATGCAGGGCAAAGTGTTTAACAGCAAAAACTAAAGAGAAAATGGAGGTTAAGGGTACATGAGACCTTTTTTGGTGCTTCCTTCCTGAACGTCATTAATTGCCTTTCTTTAGACCTCTGAAAATCATTCCAGTTCTAATGTTTTATGCCTTTGGGGGATTTATATTCTCTGTTACAAAAAGAATGCAATAAAATCAAATGTGCAGTCCATTGTGGTGGCCCAAAGAGCCCGATTCTGTGAGGCACGGAGCTGGCAAGACTCAGGAGTTTTGTGAGACTGACAGGTGCCGTTCAGACAATAACTGAATTTTTATCTTCCCCACAGATGAATGTGGAATTGTCGCTCAGATTTCTGAGCCTTTGGCTGCAGCCGACATCCCAGCCTACTACATCAGTACTTTTAAGTTTGATCACGCATTGGTGAGTATCAAGACAGCTTCTTTGGAATAGGGGAGATCTTTTCCCTGGGAGAAAACTCATGATGAGAACCTCATTTCCCATCTGGAGAGCTTGTTGGAGTGCCTTTGCTCTGACATAGCCCAGCAGATACCTCTCGCCAGCCTCCTGGCTGTCACTGCCCTGGGTCAGAGGCTCCTGAACCAAGCCCAGGCCTACGCCACAGCAAAGCCGTGTTAGGGAGCGTCATTCTTGCAAAAGGCTGGTCTCAGTCCTTACCGACCTTCAGCGATGGAGGCTGCATGACCTCCCCAGGCAGTCTCTTCCACCATGTCACTACCTTTTATTAGAAATGGCCACAAACCCTCTCTGTTATCCTGCAGACATAGTCGGAGGCTCCAGACTTACACGAGGGTGCCTTTGTGTGGGGGGAACTTTTTGGAGAGTCTCCCAATAGCAGACCCCTGCCTTCATCTCTTGGTACCTGCAGGGCCCTAACCTTTGCGTTTTGAGACCCATCCGTGAGTCCTGATCGGCTCTGCTGTCCCTGCATCGTCCTTCTCATGGTGTAGGCCTTTGATAAAATAGCATGAATTGGCAGCACAGCAAGGGAAGGTGATTTTGAAGCAGAGAAGGCTGTTGCCACGTTCGTTCCCGTGAGTGCCCATACGCAGATGCAGCACAGTCATCAGCATGAGGGTCTTGCCATTCATGCAGGGTTCTCTTCTCTTTTATACTGGTGGGTATTTTACCTTCTAGGCCTACCTCTGCTCTTCCTTTGGCTTTATAGGACACCCTCAAAAATGAGGAATTTCCCTGAAAAGGGAAAATTGCTATGCCTGTAGCCACACACAGGATGGCATTTGACTTGGAGCCCATTCCCCAGGTCCTCAGGGAGGGAGTCAGTAGCCCATGTGCTAATAAAACTCAGCTGCTTTGTGCTTTTGTTTTTTTTTTCTTAAATGTGCCCTTTATTGCATTATACTTCTCCTTTCATCACTGTAAATTCACTGCACAGGCCCTACTTTTAACCTGTAAAAGCTCCAGTGAGTTCAAGGCAGGCTTTTTTCAGCTAATTACTTTGGTTTTTCACAGTTGGTATGAACCATTTGCAGCCTATAGGTCATGTGTGTAAAGAGTAAAAGTAAATATTATTCCAGATAGCAAAGGTCAAAGTGTTATATATGTTTGTCTTATTTTCTTGAATATTAACTGTGCTGATAAGATAAGCTAATAAAACACCATCTTAAAATCAATACTGTTAGCTTTGCCTCACAATCCTACCTGTTGTTGTAGCCCCAGGTGCATGCTTTCTGTGCAGAGCACAAGGTGCAGAGTGCTTCTAGTTGTCAAGCAATTTCTGGACAGCTAAGCCCTGACAGGTAAAATAGATATTTCACTTAAAAATTGCGCCATACAATTGTGATGACTCTGCAGGCAGCTCCGCCTTTTAAAAGTGTCTCATCCTGCTGCATCTGAGCCCAGCAGATCCCTGCCTCCACGCAGCTGGCAGAGTATTATTTGGGCCATGCGCTAAGGTCTGCAGATCTTCATTACTCAAATCAGTATTTTAGCATTTTCCTTGCTACTTGTTGTTCTCTTTTTGTATGGTTTTAAAAGCCTTTTCATCTGGACCACGCTATTCTAGTTGTCAAATCCTTCCACCGTGTGGAAGGTGCATTTCAAGCCCTCCTTTGCTTGACTTTGCTCTGGGCGTGGAGGCTGGGCTGTGTGCTTGCTGGCTCTAGGTTGGTTTTGTTGGTCAAGACCCTGACCTAGATTTTGTTATGTTTTCCCTAACTGTGCTACCCAGACACCTTGACTTCTAGTGACATTTCTCAAGGTCTAAGTGCATCTTGAATCCATTCTCTGCAGCCTCCCTTTATTTAAGGTTGTTCGGTACTTGTTGTGAACAATTTAGAGTGCTTTATAAAAGCTTGTTGTTCCCTTTGACCTGATCTTTTTTCTCCTGCGCATCTTTTTGTTGCTTAAATTTTTATTTGACCTGGGTGTTAATAGTCAGGTCTTCCTGCAATGCTGTAGCTGTAGAAGTTTTCCCTGAAAATCAGGACCTGTGCTTGAGAAGAAATCCCTTTGGGAGGCAATGCTGAGGTGGGAACCTCCAGGTCTCTGCTGTGTCCCCTGGGTGACATAAGGTCGGGCTGGAGAGAGCTACGGTTTCCAGCTCCCTCTAGAGAAAACAAGTGAGAAGAGTCCCTTTTCCAGGTGCTTTGCTCTTGCTGCCTCATGCTTAAATATCTTGCTCTTCTTCACCAGCATTTTGCATCTAGGGAGGCCAAAGCTATGTCTGGGATGTAGTTGGGAGCTTTACTTTTCCCTTCATGGTAGATGCTTTGATCTACCCTCTAGCTGGCAAGTGAACATGTTGCACCAGCTGCCCTGGGATAGGGATCTTCTCTAAGGGGCAGAGAAGGGTAGGGCTTCTTCACTGGTGGTGAACTAGGATGTGTCCTACAAAGCAAAACTGTTCGCACATCTGTCCTGGAGAAAATCTGGCCCAAACGTTTGCGGTATGATTGATACCATTTCCCTGACATGAAGGAAGTCAAGCATTTTGCGGTGAATGAAGGATCAGCCCGTTGTGTTTAAGTGAGGAGGTGGGTCTGTGGAGGTCAAAGCCAGTTGGCCAGAACCAGCTGGTTCTGCTTCCTCCTGCTTCTGTACTGCACTGAAGGAGCATATGGAGAGACCCACTGATCATCCGCTGGGGCCAGGAAAGAAAATGTGTTTTGCAAAATTGATTCCTATGTCTTTTCTCATTATCTTCTGGAGAGGCAAAGAGTCATATAGCTTCCTCCACTGCAGTGTTCAGTGTTCTGGGAAAAATGATGGAGGGGAGGCAGTGGAGAGTCCTGTCTCAAAGTCCTATTCCCTGCAGTGGAGGTTTGCTGGGGTTTTCTTCCTAACCCAGAAGAATTTGCTGTGTGGTTGTTTTAAAATTATTTTCTTCCTTTCCCAGCTGACTTTGGTTCACACATCATCAGAGTTAGCTGCTCCTATTCCATCTTCCCATTGGAAAATTGAACATTTTTCTTGTTATTACTCGTGGGTTTTTTCCTCAGTTTTGTTAAAAGCCTTGCAGGAAATCGCAGTCCAGTTGTATTTCCACTGTCTGAGCTCTGGAGGGTGTCCAGCGAATCCAGGTATTGTACTCCTGGCCAAGGACTCAAATACCTCGCAGAGGAGACAGTCCCTTCTTCAACTTACTTAACGTGAATTATCTTGGCTTCTTGCAGCAGCTCACAGATAATTTATTGTTCCCTCAGTCCCCTCTCCACTTTGCAAGAGCTGTTAGCTGCCTGTCCCCTGCATGTTGTCTTTGAGTTTATGTAACGGTCAGATGCCTCTTTTCTGTCTGATGTAACTTTACTTGTGATATTCTTTTCTACCAGTGACAGTCACTCTGATATCTTTTGCATCTTCTGTTACAAGGGTTTTTTTCTTGCAGTAAGTGTGAAAAGACACCCACCAATAATTTTGTATATGGACTTCTATGGTTAAGTTTCATCACAAGACTGGATAAGAAAGCTCAGGTGCTACGCTGCACCATCTGGGACCCTCCACCACAAGCAGACTGGCAGTTCTCTTCTTCTTTTGATGGACATGTTCCCCTGTCAGCTGACGTGGTCTCCCCACCCACACTTATGGGTCCTAAACTGGAGAGCCTTGTGGAGCCCTTAGGCAGCCGCATAAATCCATCAGCACAGGCAGCTTGCATGAGCAAGCTCCTGGCGTACAAATGCTTTACCAACAAAAGGAAGGGAAAGGAAGGGAGAGGAAGAGGAGAAGGGAAAAAACCCCCCCCCCCCCCCGAACAGTTGCCTCCCCAGCAGCACCCACCATATGGACAGCAAACCAGCCAGATCTCACTTACAGTGTTTACTTCTACCGTGGGTTAACGCTTTTGAACCGGAGGGTGTCTCATGTAGATGGAGTCCTTTCTCAGTGGAGTTCAGGTGTCCAACAGCAAAGTACCTGGCTGCTTGGGACTGTTCTGGCTTGTCTCCTGCCTCTCCTTTCCTCATCGACCCTGCCTGGCTTTTGCTAGAGCATGACCTTTCTTTTTGGTTTTTTTGCAGGTACCTGAAGAAAATATTAACGGTGTGGTCAATGCACTCCAAGTCAGTCAAGCTGAAAAGCATTAGAAATCTTCTGAGCTGGTTCCAGATGCTTTTTATTATTATAATTATTATTATTATTATAATTATTATTATTATTATTATTCTTTTTTTCTCACAGTATTTCTTGAAAAATCTGATTCCAGAGAGTGACATGAAAAGAGACTGTGGAAAGTTGAGCAGAAACAGCTCCAATAAGCCTTTGTTTTAATTATTATTATTATTGTTATTTTATTAAATTTATGAATGAGGGGCAGGAGGAAAGGGAGTTCAGGTGGTTTCCTAACATTCAGCTCCAAGGTGAAGTGTAACCTGCCCAGTGTGGAAGGAGCTGCCGGGGGACACCCATCTCTCCCCAAAGTGCGGCAGCATGTATGGCCACATGCTCAGGCGCTCTGCCGAGACCTTCGCAGCGCGGCTGGGACGGATGGGCCGCTTGCTCAGAGAGAACCCTGAAAACCGTAAACAAAATGAAACGTGGAATTAAACAGAAAAGACGTCGCGTAGTGCTGGCTTTTCTCCTCGCATCAGACTTTCTGAGGACTGTCCGTCATTGCCTATGTTGAGATAGGATGAGAATTGGGTTCTGTTTCCCCTGACAAAACTGTTTGGCGTTGGAAAAGGGGCAAATATCTAGTTGTTTGAATTTTCCCCTTTTCCCTTTCTCCCTGCAGTCAAAGCCTGGCTGCTCCGAGAAAGCCTGGGCAGAGGGAGCATTGCTCTGGCCCACCTTCTGGCAGGCGGCGTCACCAAGACTTCTGTCTGCATTGAAACTTGGCCGGTTTAGCTCAGTTTTCTCCAGTCAGCCTCCCACTGACCCCAGTGTCCTCCTGCCATGTCCCCAGCTCCAGGCAGCTGCTGTCCCCTCACCCCCACACCAGAGCCATCCCCAAGCCCTTTTCATCCAGGGCCAGCAAGAGGAGGGAGGCATCTTTCCTCCTGTCCCCTCGGGCTTTGTCCCATCCACTTGATACACATTCACGGGGACACGAAGGATTGCCCAGGGTCCCTGGGTAGCTGCTCCTGCACATCCTGGGCCACCTCGGCCAGGAGCCACTGGGGTTTGTCCCCACCAGGGCCAGGAGGTGCCCAAGCCCTGCTGGGACCCTCCTGCAGTTTTTCAACAGCTCCTCCGTCACCAGGGTGGAAATCGTTGCCAGCTGGGGTCTTGACTCCCAGGGGTTTTCCATTGGGTTCAGCGGGCAGCCCTTTTGAAAGCAGAAGGCTGCCGAAAATGCATAAAACTGGAGGTGTTTCCTTCTGGTCCTGTTGCGGGAAGGTGATGTGGGCTCTTCCCGTGGGGCAGCAGGAGAGTGTTCGCTCCAGGCTTGCACCAAAGCTGCAGGCCAGCGGGAGCCCTGCGTCGGGGCCCGTGGTGGCATCTGCCTCCGAATCGCGCCTGCGGCCGCTCCCAGCACCATGGAGGACGGCGGGGACTGGTGCTGGGAGAGCAAGCATCACCCAAGATGTAGGTACCAGCAGTTCTGCACCGTGCTGTGACAGTGCAGTGAGGGGTGGTGAAAAGGAGAAGCCGTCTGCAGGGGACTCTGCTTTTACAGTTGGGAGCCCAAGTATATCTTGCATTTGTAGACTTCTTCCCATTTTGTTTTTGACATGAAGAAATTACAGGTCTTACAGTTTTCATGAGGGCTTTCCAGCTTTGCTTAAGAGACAGCCTCTAGCATGATTTTCCTGAGGCTCTGTCTTGCAGGTTTAAGCCAGGGTTTTGCATTAATCTGGAGACAGTAAGCAAGCACCTGAGATCATGCCACAGGCATGGCTTATACTGGTGGGTAGGACATGCAAACACACGCACTGACTTACAGCTCGCTGTTTAGTTCTCCATTCACGGCGCTAGATGGCTGAGCTTAATATTTGTGGTTTCTGGTGCTGCTGGACCCAGACACTGAGTTTCAAATCTTTCTGATTTTTCATCGGTGGGATGTTGTATGGCAGCTAGACAGGGAATCAGAGCGTCCGCAGGAAAAAACATGGGTAACTTTCCTTTGTAGGACCTAACTGAGTTAAAGCATCCCTGCTGAGAAACACTTAGGCACATGTTTAATACTTTACCAAACAGTATGTTTTGCTGTTCCTTTACATGGGTTTTCAGAATTGCCCCATGATATGTTAAATTTGCTCCAGATTTCTGGAGTGAAGGTTTATTCCAGGTGTGGCACCATGCGTCTCTGGATGGTTGTTTGGAAAGATGCTTTGGTCTCCTGCCACATGCCGTAAGGATGCAAGCACAGGCTGTGTGGTGCGATATTTAAAAGCACTCGGAGATGTTCTGTGTGAATCTGCACAACGTCGTTGGCCGTGAGCTGAGCTGAGGGATGCAGCAGGGTGGTCAGTAGCTTTTTACCACATAAATTGTTGAAGGGTTTCTCCTTGGGATGGCAGATTGGGGGGTTTGTAGGACTGTGCAGGATTGTTTTGGAGAGGGATACCAGCACATTTCGTTGGTGTACAGCTACTGAGTTGCCAGCCAGGCTTGCTGGTCGGCTGAGTTGAGCCTGAGCTTTCCCTGTGTGCGTGGACAGGGTCTTCTTTGTGCTCCTGGGTTTTGTCAGCCATTGGAAAATTATTATTTAGCCACTTTCCGCATCAGAGAGCAACGTGCATTGCTCTCCATGTGTGCTAGTGCTGCTTTCTAAGGACCGCGATATGTACGGTGAGGAATTACTTGAAACAAGCAACAACTTTACTGAGCCTTAAGAGAAAGCGAAAAAAACAGGTTTTAATTTTTTTTTTTTTTTAACTTTGCACTCAGGCTATTTTAGAGGCTGATTTTTTAATTTAAATTTTTCACTTTTTTCCCTAAGGGAGTCAGCCTTAAATTCCTGAAATCTGTAGAAGTCTTTGGGGTGTTTCAAAACTTCACAAAGCAGGTTGATGTCCTGGCATGAGAAAGTTAGCCTGAAAAATTCACAAGGTGTAAAATGCCATTGAGGGACTCTCTGTCTCTGCCGTCATCCTCAGCTTCACCTTTTTATTTCCTCTCTCATTTTGCCCTGAGAACCAAGAACATTGTTTCAGACAACTTGGGGTAGTTTGATGCTTTCCCTTTAGTGTTCCCTGCATCGCTTTGCTGGTGGAACTGAGATACTCTGAATTTAGCCAGAATTGGTTGAGCCTTGAACCCAAGCCCTGGGGAAGGGCACTCCAGCATGCGGTCGGGATCAGTGCAAACTTGCACAGTGGTGTTGCTTGTGAGACATTCACTGGATAAGGCAGGAAGGGGTCTGCAGGGGCTTTGTTAAAAAAATTTAATAGTAATAATAATTCTTTAACACCACAGCGCTTAATGAGCCCAAAGCAGTGGCTCTTAAAGCTGCTCAACAGCCCCCACTCTTCCAGCACCTGACCTTTGCGGTGGGGAAAAATTGAAGGGTCTTTTATTTTTTTTTAAATGCCTTATGATAATAATGTCTCTGAGCATCCCTGGCATTGTGCTGTTTAACACTGTGTGTATAAAAAGAGGAGCATGTCTTAGTGGGATGCCCTTCAGCTGGGCATCTGCATCACTGAAAGCCCGGGTTACCTGTCAGCCACCGGCGCTGCCCCGAGCATCCATCCCTGCTCGGCTGGCTGGAGAGTTTCACCTGGTCGTGGCTGCTGCTGATCGGGGATCACCTTAACGCTGCGGGACCCTCCCCGTGCCCTCTCGGTTCCTCTCGTTGCACAAAAATTCACCAAACAGCGAAATGCAAAAAGCGTTTCCAGCCCTGCAAGGACAGGTGGGCAGGGAAGGAGAACATAGCCCTCCCACCCCTTCCTTGTTTCTCTGAGGCCTTTGTTTTCTTAGGAATTTCAACCTTTCTCATGTTGTGTGTGTTACTACGTAGGTTTTTGTCTTTTTTCCCCCATCCCAATTAGATTTTGGCTACAAGTTCCCTTCTACTGTGCAAGTGTGTGCATATGTTCATATAATTGTATAGTGTTTACATAGAAATACTTAGTATGTCTCTATTGTACACATATATAAATACCTGTGTTTTATGTTTGTATGGCTATATACTGTACATAGCATATATACTTGAGCAATATAGGTTAATATATACTGTGTGAGTACATGTGTGTATACTCTAGGCACACGCTCTGTGTGTGTATATATATGTAGTAAGTGCTATATACACACATTTATTCACCATATATTTTTAATTCAAGTATATAGGCAATATGAATACTTAGTTACGCTCTTGGGATTTCTCTACACGTTTTTAGCGAAGAGCGGCAGTGAAGCTGACCTGGAGCAAAGCTGTGGCTCCTCTGCTTGCTGTGAGTAGGCAGAGACCCACGCTGATTCACAGCATCGGGTTTTCCTGCCTGCTTCAGAAACACCCTATTCCTCTTCAGTTTGGTGCCTCCAGCACAGAGACTGTAGGGAAGTTGTTTCTTTTTCTTTATATATATTTTAGTTGCTGCTCTGAATTGCTTCAGCCTGTAAGTAGTGAGGGTTCATTTGCAAAGTGCCTGCCCAGAGCCTGGCTGGGGGGTTTGCAATGGGGCTTCCAGTTCCCGCAAGCACCGAGCCGGTGCCCGTGCCGCTCGCCTTTCCCCAGCCGAGGCTGGCTCTGGGCACCGGCCGTGGGGAGCATCTCCTGAACCTCCTGCCTGTGAGGTCTTCGAGGTGGCCTGGGCACGTCACTGCTTTTCCTCCAGAGCCGCTTCGTGGTGGTCTTGCCCAGCATCTCCGCACCAGGCTGTGGGCGCTTGCTGCGGCTGCGTGATTTCCCGGTAGATGTGTCTGCTGGTGGCTCGGCGGCCAGAAGGCAACCCATGGCTAACGCAGAGCTCTGCTATTTATTGGGAAACTCGCATTTGTTGGTCTGTGAGGAGCTTAAATTGGGGGGGTATTTTTGAAGAGATGGACGTGTTGGAGTGTCCTTTCTGTTAAAAGTAGGAGAGGCTGTTTGAACCCGGTCATTGGAAGTGTCTTTGCATCTCGTCATCAGTTTCCTGCTGACCAGCAGTGCTGTTAGGGTCCAGGTGGGGAAAGGTTTTTACCCAAATCATCCTCTGTTTTGATACTTTGGTTACGCTTCACCGAATGCAGTGGGGGTGCTGCCTTGCAGCTGACCTTTTGGCACTTTCAGGTTGCTGATTTTCAGTCTGGCCCATAAATGCCTCCTGGTTTGTGCAGCTTTCCGTTTCTTTTCAGATGTTGAAGTCAGTTTGATTTGCAGTTGATAGAGTTTCTGAAATACTGTGCTTTAAGTGACATGTATTAATCTGTCTTGCGTAGGGAGGCCTTAATGGAAGTATTTGGGTTTGCTGGAGCACAGAGATCGTGGCTCCTGCAGTGGGTGACATTCGTGTTAAGACTTACTTAATGGCAGTGCCATTTATAAAGAGCATTCATCATATAAATATCATGCTGCTGCTTCGAAATGTATTTTTAACTCCAAGCTCAGTGTTACCATTCCCAGGGGCACAGGTAGGGAATGCTGTTGGTCACAGATGAGTCAACCCTCGTCTCTAAGAAAAATCTTGTTGGT